CCTGAAACTTTTGAACAGTAGTGTAATTGTGAATGTTCATTTCCCTACAGTTGGATTACCTTTTCTGTCATCTAACAATCGAAAGTAAATCTGATCTACAGTGGGGCAAATAAGTATTTGATACACTGCTGATTTTTCAAGTTTTCCCACTAACAAAGAATGGAGAGATCTGTAATTTTCATCGTAGGTACACCTCAACTGTGAGAGACAGAATCAAAAAAAAATCCAGAAAATCACATTGTATGATTTTTAAATAATTAATTTACATTTTATTGCATGAAATAAGTATTTGATCACCTACCAACCAGCAAGAATTCTAGCTCTCACAGACCTGTTAGTTTGTCTTTAAGAAGCCCTCCTATCCTCCACTCATTACCTGTATTAATTGCACCTGTTTGAACTTGTTACCTGTATAAAAGACACCGGTCCACACACTCAATCAATCAGACTCCAACCTCTCCACTATGGGCAAGACCAAAGAGCTGTCTAAGGACACCAGGGACAAAATTGTAAACCTGCACAAGGCTGGGATGGGCTACAGGAAAATAGGCAAACAGCTTGGTGAGAAGGCAACAATTGTTGGCACAATTATTAGAAAATGGAAGAAATTCAAGATGACTGTCAATCTCCCTCGGACTGGGGCCTGAATTGTTTTTAGTTTTAGTCTAGTTTTAGTTGACTAAATCTACAGTAAATTTAGTCGGCTAAAATCAAATGGGGTTAGATACAGTGCAATGCGTTTATTAAGCATTTCTCCAAAATTTCCAAATTCATTATATAGGTTTGATATTAAGGTTTTATCATGATAGACACCGATTTAACTGCGGTGACACACAACATGCCTTTATGTTAAAATTAAATAAAACCACTTCTCATAAAGAACAACAACATGATCTTCTTTTTAATGAAATACCAATGGTTATACAGGCTAATTATGCATTCTTTATAGCAACTTGTTTACCATATTCTTGATTCTTTCAAGCAGACATATTTATTTCTGTAAATAAATTCAGATTAATCTTTAGGGCTACTAAAGTTTTTCAGTCAAGAGCATGCGTTTTAAAGCATAGCAAGAAATACAATATTTTTATATTTTCTCAATGAAATATGAATTATGAATTAGCATGTTGCTATGTGATTGCAAATGGTGGTTGAAAGGGCATTGATAGGTGGTTGCTTACAGTTTTAAAAAAATTAATATATAAAAAATAAAATAAAACAAAATACAAATTTCACACTAACCTTCAAAAATTCTGGGTAATTTGGGGTTCTTTCAAGAACATTTAAATAAATCTTACCAACCTGAAACTTTTGAACAGTAGTGTAATTGTGAATGTTCATTTCCCTACAGTTGGATTACCTTTTCTGTCATCTAACAATCGAAAGTAAATCTGATCTACAGTGGGGCAAATAAGTATTTGATACACTGCTGATTTTTCAAGTTTTCCCACTAACAAAGAATGGAGAGATCTGTAATTTTCATCGTAGGTACACCTCAACTGTGAGAGACAGAATCAAAAAAAAATCCAGAAAATCACATTGTATGATCACTGACTTAATATTTCCAAGTTGAGGACAATATGATAGTCTGCTGTAATGACATGCCAGTACTTACATTCTGCATTACCAGAGGGAGGCTAATGTTTGGGGAATCTAGACCTATTTGAGGCACAGAGAGGTGTTTGTGTGAAGAAGTCGTGAAGAACTACACTCATAGCCATAGAAGAACCATTTTGGGTTCCACAAAGAAACATTCAGTCAAAGGTTCTTTAAAGAACCATCTCTTTCTTACCCTTTCTTAGAAAGGTTCTTCACCAGTTCATTTTAATGACGTGTTTCTAAAGATCATGCAGACCAAGGCGGCAGACAGCGCACCATGTTTGTTTTCTTTATTTTATAAATGCACAAAGTTTTGTTGTTATTATGTGTGTATACAAATAAAAGTAGACCATTTACAGATTCGATTGATGTATTGCTCTAATCTGTAAGATCAAAATTGAAAGTGTAATTTAAGTTATTTTCGGTGTTATCAGGAGAAGATGCCACAAAGCGCGTATCCGCGTTAGTCAACCCCAGAGGGTTAAAGGTGACCTATTATGCCCCTTTTTACAAGATGTAAAATAAGTCTCTGATGTCCTCAGAGTGTGTGTGTGAAGTTTTAGCTCAAAATACCTTATAGATAATTTTTATAGCTTGTTAAAATTGCCACTTTTAGGGTATGAGCCAAAACGTGCTGTTTTCGTCTTTCCCTTTAAATGCAAATGAGCTGGTGCTCCCGGAGAAGAGGGCGGCGCTTCAAGAGCTCAAGCTCCGGCAATAACGGTGCCAGCCTTTGCAAATAAACACTCCACTATTAGTACAAGCCTGTTATCTTGACAGAAAACGCACTCGGTATAAAAGTCAGTCATCTGATTGTACTGTGCATAAAAAATGTACTTTATGAATTACACAGACGGGAACACGGTGCGATAAAAATAACTCATGGTGCCATACAAATTTTATAAGCCCCACTTGTGATTATGAGCTCGACTAATTCCAGCAGTTGACTTCACATTGCTTTCATATGCAATTTTTAACATTCCTATTTACGATCATTCTGGTAGCACGTGAAGGCAGCATCAGTGAAAACAGACAGACAATGGTAGCTTTAGCAACATTAGCCTTACAAAGTGCCAAGAAGCTCTTTCAGAAAGGCAATTTGGCCAAGAAGCTCTTTCAGAAAGGCAATTTGGAAAACTAACGTGTGATACTTATTGACGTGTGATAATTTCTTCTGGAGGTGTAGCTGGATCACGAACAGCTGGTACTGCTCCATCCTTCAGGAGCAACATTTGTGCAAAACCTGCTTTATACTGACCCTCATTCACAATGCAGTCCGGTGTAAAATGATTCGCGCAGACAAACAAATTTCGGTAGAGTTGAGGGAGCATTTTCTTCTAAAACAAAATTAATCCACCTCGTCTTCAGCGGCTCAGATTTCGGGAGTAAGGAGAGAGCTATGTGGATTCATACATCCAGCTACAGAAAACCTAAAACGCTTAGGAGACATTCTCGTCAGTGCAGCAATGGCAGACTATGTTAAAACAGCAGTGTCTGTCAACATTCGTGGTCGGGGCTTGTGGCGAATGTGATGTCACATTAGCACCAAGTCAGAAAACAGGTAGTTGGGAGACACTGCTTATGATTTATGGGGATTAAAAAAAAGGAGTGGGTGGATTTTTATCATTATAGGGTGGTTGTGTACACACACTGCCAACACACATTTATGTCCAAACACCATGCAAAAGTGAATTTTGCATAATAGGTCCCCTTTAACAAGCAAGATGCACGGAAGTATACATTTCCAAACATAGTCTAGGTCTCCCTCATCCTTTCCTGGCTAGGATGCTGTATCCAGAAGAAAAAACACACCCAAATCATAGTTGATCAAGTTTTCAACTTGATCTTGCGATCACTGAACTGGAAGCTCCCCTTTTCTACAGATGTCAGAAAGTAAAGGAAAGTGAGACAGAACTGCTCCTGGCTCAGAAATGAAGTAACAACCAAATCAGAGCACAAGGAATGCGTGTAAAAATGTGATTTGCACATGATTTGAGTGGACAATATCAATTACTAGTACACAAGAGAGTGAGTTATGCCAGAGGCATTAGCATTACTGCTGCCAATCAGCAGCTGGAGCCTAATTCAGCCAATGGCAAAATCACATCACATGGCCAGTGAGAAAGGCTCAGTCCACAGCTTAAAATAACAACTACCGAGAATGCCATAAAGCCACCGGCAATCTTTCATAGAAAAATAAACTAAAAAGAACTGGATGCACGCAAATAAAAGTCAAAACTCCACTAACATAGTTTATGTTCATGACAAATAGGTTTACTACTACAGAGAAAACTGTCTAAATATATGAATATGCAGTAATCTGAGCATTTACACAGCCTTTGAAAGTAGAACCCTATAGGGTGAATTGCAAATGGTGTTATTAAAATAATCCAATTTGGAATAAATGAGCAATAATGGATGCAGAAGCATTATCTGCCTACGAACACACATTTTAACTGCTATAAAGATGAATTTTCTGTGTCAAAATATCAGATCTGTTCACTGAGGTTTGCAGTATAAATGCATGCTAATAGACCCTCTGCTGTTTATTATGTTGTTTAAATTAATCAAACAACATTAACAAGAAATTAAAGCAACTTGCTGCTTTTAAATTTATTTATTTGTTTTTAATTTTTTAATTGTTGGCTGTTTACTTGAATAAATACTTGGAAAACCTTGATGTAATGCTTGATTAATGAAGAAATACTTCAAGGCTATATAACACTGCTGTAATTTAATTAGTTAACATTTATATTTACACTACCATTCAAATGTTTCAGGTGATTTTTTTTTTTTTTTTTAAAGATGCTCACCAAGGCTGTTTATTTGATCAAATATGCAGTAAAATGAAATACAAAAAAAATTATTATAATTTAAAATACCAGGTATTTTATTCCTGTGAATTTGAATTTTCACTAGCCATTACTCCAATTTTCAGTGTCACATTATTCTTCAGAAACCATTCTAATATGCTGAATTGGTGTTTTATTATCATTGTTGAAAACAGCTATGCTGCTTTTTTCATGAAATATATAATTTTTCAAGATTTGTTGAGTAGAAAGTTCAAAAGAATGGCATTTATTAAAATCTTTTATGACATTATAAATGCACTTACTGTAAATTTTGATCAATTTAATGCATCCTTGCTAAACAAAAAAGCATCCTTGCGAAAAATGAACCCAAACTTATGGTAGTGTAACTCTAACAATTAAATACAATTTTATCAAATTAAATAAAAAATTACAAAAATGTCTATGGGACTGAAGTTATAATCAAGGTATGGTGATGCACCCTTTTAAATGAAATTTGCCTATAGGTTTTCAAGCTTGGACAAAATTGATCAGAATCAGTCAACAGAATAAAACACACGCACACACACTCATACATTCACTCATACTCACTGCAGGTGGAGTCTGCTTCATCCGAACCATCTGGACACTCCGGTTCTCCATCACACCTCCATCGGGCCGGGAGACACTGCCCATTCTTACATGCAAAGTCTGTTGTGGCACATGTCTTTTTTGCTGTTGAAGAAAAGAGAGAAAGGTAAGTATAAGGGCATATACATTAAGGCTATGTTTACACAAGAGGTCTATTTGAGTTCAAAGGTCAGTTCGGATGTACCTGCTTTTTCGGAAGGCGGAATAACTATTTTCCAACAACAGTGAAACAAACCAGACTACTAAATCTAGTCTGCAGGAGATGCCATGGCAAAATTAGATCACTTGAGAAACAATGGTAGACTTGCACTAGATAACAACTGTTCTGGTGCAGAAATAAAGAAAAACATGAGCAGTAAAAGCCCCACACTTCAGATTTAAACAACAAACGGCAAGCGATATGAGACTAAGTACACCGCGTGTCTCTGTCGTTTCTTCGTGTTGCATTTATAGTTTAATTGGGAAGATAATTTGAATGAATTGAACACACAGCTCCAGTGGGAACAATTACAAAGGCCCAGGTACACATGTCTGTGAATTTACGAACCCTTACTTTTGTTTGTGTATGTGTGTGGCTGAAGACTGCTTTGCTTTAAGTCCAGTAAATTTGTCGCTGGGTAAAAGAGCCTGAAGGGAGAGCGATTGATGATGTTGTCAGCTCTCTGGGAGGGATACCAATAAGAGCTTTATCAGTCAGAGAGGACACAGTGATTTAACACTGTTCACTCGTTTGGCTTTTATCATGTGCATCAATTGAACACATGCAGTGCCTGGTCTGGGTGGGTGTGCTGAATGCCAAATATTAATTCTGCTTTTTTCCCCCCACAATCGATACGCCTATAGTAAATCAATCAGCTGAAACAACATACTTTTATTTATTTTTTATTTTTTAAAGGTAACATGAAACCGGAAACATTCCGAACCAATTTTGTTTCCATAATATTATGTAATTCGAGGGAAAATAGGACAACATTCAGACCAGGAAAAATAAATAAATAAATCTTTCGGCAACTGATTGGATGACAGAAGGTATTTGTGTCAACAGCTGAAAAAAAAAAAAAGAGAGATAAGTTGTTTTAGAGGTTAAACAAGTTATTACATCCTAATGAAAATGTGGAAAATGTGCACCAAATCGATTGTTCACAATAGGGCCAAGAAAGTGCATTAACAATGTAAATATGCACATTGACAACAATATGCACACATTGACAACAACATTTATTCAATGATTTTAAAAAAAGAAAAGGAAAAAAAAACAAATCTGCAAAAAAAGTACACTACCCCATCAAAATAGCATAAAACAGTTAACCTAAACTATTAAAAAACATTTTTGTTGATTGAAATAAAATAAAGAAATATCAGATTAAAATCTTAAACTTAAAAAAACACACAAAAATGTTGACTTAACAGCTATATATACAGTGGGGCAAAAAAGTATTTAGTCAGCCACCAATTGTGCAAGTTCTCCCACTTAAAAAGATGAGAGAGGCCTGTAATTTTCATCATAGGTATACCTCAACTATGAGAGACAAAATGAGAAAAAAATATCCAGAAAATCACATTGTAGGATTTTTAAAGAATTATTTGGTAAATTCCTCGGTAAAATAAGTATTTGGTCACCTACAAACAAGCAAGATTTCTGGCTCTCACAGACCTGTAACTTCTTCTTTAAGAGGCTCCTCTGTCCTCCACTCGTTACCTGTATTAATGGCATCTGTTTGAACTCGTTATCAGTATAAAAGACACCTGTCCACAACCTCAAACAGTCACACTCCAGGCTCAAGTGTTGGTTTTACAAATTTTCCTGTAGGACTGCCAATGCAGGCAGGCAGCTTCAAGCACCAACTCATGGGATGTGCTGATTAAAATATGGTATGTATTACAAGCAGCAAATACTTCATTATGCAGATACTCACACTAGGCACACATACATAAATACTGCATGTACTGTGTCTTGATTTGTGAGCCATACAAAAATCATAAATCATGCACAAGGCTGTGCAAACAATAAGCACACACTCTGACTTACAACAATCATCACATGTCATATATAACCATCAGGCCTGTCGCTGTGCAAATGTTATTTTTCTCTATTTCCCTGGGACTTCCAGGAATTTTGTGTGTATTAGTGTGTAGAAACAAAGCAAGAGATGTGTGTGTGAGTTTTCTGCAAAAGTAGGCAAAGCCATGACATTCCCAATGATTACAGACAGGACTGCTGATCTGTGATGGTTAGCGGATCAGTGACCTCTTTGTGTCCGCTGCCTGCGTTCCACAGAATGGGCAGTCTGCACGGGACACAACTGCAGCTCAAAGTCAGCATCCTTCAATTTTCACAAACCATTTCCTCCAATCTTCACAGGGAACTAAGACCACAGTCTAAACACACTTGACACCTTAAGCTTCCTGAAAACTGCCAAATTACCAATGCAATTTTAAAAAGCAATGAAGCAGATGGGAAACTGTCATTCAATCTACTTCAGCATGGTCTAAAGAGCTACTTAAACACTATGAGCTATGCACTTTATTGCTTTATTTGCTTACTTTGTGGTAACAAACTAATGCCTGAAGGTGGTTAAGACGTGAACAACTTTTTGAAGCAGTAGTCATTTATAAGATTCTAGGCACTCTACGGTGGTCTAATGCTTGTTAAGTTTGATGCAAAATTCAATAGTCTAAGCAGCTGGAAGAAATAAATCAGTGATACCAGATCAGAGGTCTATAGCGTGCTGTTTGGGGAGGTGCTGTGATTGACTGGCTGTGGTTTATGTGGTTCTGAGTACTCGTTTGAGATAAGAGAGCCCACCTATTATAGGATAAGGCAATCGCAGAGCCATCTTGAGCAGGGCTATAAACATGGACAGGTCATAATCGTAAATGGAGTCTGTGAAGAGAGGCGCCTCAGTGGGTCACCTTTTTCTGGTGGGATCCCTTTATTTCTTCACTTGTCCGTTTCAGTCTCTCTGTCATTGTAGCCATTAAAATTATATAACATTTTAAGCACAACGCTGGCATGAAGGATGAGCGATATATTGAATATTTGGAATATGTTGTTGATGATTTTGTTCGCAACAGAACACAGTAAAAACAAATGGAAAATGTGATTATTACAAAATGTGACTAATACAATTTTTTTTCTAAGCATTTCATTTACCAATCTATGTGAGCAAATACATGAATACTGCATAAATATTCATATATGCATAAATATTCATATTACAGATATCATATTGATCATGATTATTTAATCAATTTCACACATCTTTCTTTTTTGTTAACACATTTAGTTTTCACATATTACTTTTTTTACAAGAAAGAAAAAAAAATAAATCAGCTCTTTAGAAATCAAAGAATAACATGAAACAAATATGCCCTACATGGCATGTTACAAAAAGTTTGTGTACAGAGCAGTATGGCCATCCATTCTTCTTGATGTACACACACAGAAAGACAAACATACACAGAACCATGTGCAATTCATACTCTAGTAATTTGCCTCTGACTACAGCCTAGTTCTGTAAGATTTAATGCCTGTATTATCACAGTACTGTTTCTGAGACTCCACTTGTTTAGTAACCTATACTTATGTAGCACACACAAACTGCGAAATGGGAAAAGCATTGTGAAGGTCTCTGCTGAAACCTTCACGTGAGCATGTGTCAGAAAGAAAGAGAGGAGGATAAAGCATGTCAAGGGAATCTATTGAAACAGTATAGTGACAGAGAAATATAGGAAAGGTGAGAGAAAACACCACCCTATATGCAACTATTTAAAAACGCCTGGTTACATGTGATGTAGTACGTGTGTGAAGGTATATGTGCATTGATTGGTCAGTTCACATGCTGTCAATGAACTACAAAGGCTACGTTTACATGCAACCAAATAATCAATTTGTAATCGGATTGACGGCTCATTTGGACTGAAAAACCTTCATGTAAACACCTTAATTGATCCGATTGAGCTCGATCGGAATGAAATTTCGATCGGATTGAAGGGGGCGGTTTATTCCTTTTCTAATATGACTGAGAGTGCATGTAAATAGCACTCGATTGGATTGAACCCCCGAAACTGAAAGAACAGCGCATGTGCAATGACGCAAAAATAGCATAATGACGTATGACACGCGGAACGAGCGGTTCTTCCTTTTGAATAAAGTGTTGTATAATTGCGTGTCCTGTCATTATAAAACTCTCTTTTCACTCGGCAACTGTGAAGTGGAGCAGGACAACCTCTCACCAGTCCTTGTTTTGGATTCTCATCCACAGGCAACCTGTTTTGGGTGCAGGGAGGGGCATTTTTACTGTGTGATAAATATGAGCAGCACGGTACAGCAGTTTATATTTATATTTATCCATAAATTAATAAATATTAATTCTGCTGTTAAAAACAAATAAATAAAGGTGTAGGAGAGTGGTTATTATGTGCAAACAGTGAGAAACACTATATTTGTGCAGTGTGTGCATGTAAAAAAAAAAATAATAATTCAGATTTGAAGCTTGTGACATATAAACACGCACATCAACCCGATCACTTTATTTAGCATTCATGTAAACACTACATTCAGATTCATCAATCGGAATGAATTCAGTCCAATTGAACCAAAAATTGTGCATGTAAACGTAGCCAAAGTGTGCAGATGTGAGGAGACCAAGACAAGAAAGTCTGACACCCATAGAAAAAAAAAAGGCTCACACACACAGAATAAAACATCAAATGCCAACCAACAAGTCCAGAAAACACCAAGGAAAGTGATGGCCACAGAATTCATTCATAGTTATGAGTTTTATGGGTTGGAAACAGCAACGACCTAGCAATACAATTAGCAATATGATTAGGTCTGTCAGTTTTGCATATTAATTGCCCTGAACTGCCCTGAATAGTATATAGGTGAGAATATATATACAGTATATATATATATATATATATATATATATATATATTTTTTTTTTTTTTTTTTTTTTTTTCTTTATTATTGCTTCCATATACCTGCAAAAACATTACATACCATACATCTGTGAATTATATAATATACAGTAGTTAGCGAATAATATACTTGTTGCGAATGTAAATGAGCAAGTTAGAAC